ACATTTGAACTCCTCCAATTCAAAGGTTGGAATAGTTCATTGTAGAATTTCTGGGGTGGATGAGTTCAGGACCCCTGTCCCACTGTACGACGATTAATAGCTCACCTGGTCTTAACTCAGGGCCAAGGTGAGCTTTGCCGTCTGTCATCCATCCATCAACAATTTCTTCTTCTAAACCGCTTATTGGTAGACTGTAAGCATCCCTAGGTGATGGGGTTTCTAAATTGTACGAATTGAGTCCCTGCAGGTAGGAGGTAAGAATTGTACCTGCTGCCCCCATTGCATGATTGTAAGAGGCGACTAAATTCGGGATATTATCTTTTCTCTTCTTTCTGAACAACTTTCTTCTTCTTAATGTCCCCTTGACAACGCCTCACTTTTGACCTTTAGTTGAGCGTTCACCCCTGTGAGGAAGGCTTTGGGTTCTGTCCCCTGGCCGAGACATATACCAGAGTCTGTAAAAATGGTAGTTTCTACTCCTGCTTAACACTCAGCAATTTAGGAGTGGGACGACTCGTTTGCCCGTTGTCAGTAAAATGTGACCGGGTGTGGTGTCCTGCTGGGTTTCTTCGGCAGTATGTTTCAGTGAGGTAGCACTATAAAGTCAGCATCAGTTCGGCTCTTTCACAAGGAGACAAACACGAACAAATTGCAGCTTCCCAAAACACACAAGCAAACACTACACGCATACATATTGCACACAGGGAAGGCCGTCCTTAAATGACCATAGCTGTTGACAGGACGTTAAACAATACTAAACAAACAAATGTACTAATTGAGGAGGTGACCTCCTTTAGGGCTTATGGCAGGGACAAAAAGAAGTTAATTGGCCATGTTGCTTTAACCCTTTCACCCCTATGTAACTTTAGTAGACTCTACCAAATTACATTGATCTGAATGAGTCCATTATGGTCTACAGCATCCTCGATTTCCAGGGGTTACGATCACCTACACTCTCTAGAGAGCGAAAGTAAGCGTAACTCCTGTATATCGAGGATGGGTCTACAGTGGTGAAAGGGTTAAGCATCTTCTTCTCTGGAACATAGAGATGGATATCAATCCTACTTGGTTGGAAGCATTCTCAGGTAGTGATGATTCAAAATTGTACAAATTGAGGGGTTGATCCCCCTGAGGGGCTTGGACAAAAAGGGGTAATTTGGCCATATTGCTTTAAGCAACTTTTCTGGGAATAACAGATGGATGTTAGTCATATTTGGTTGGGATTATTCTCAGTTGGTGAGAATTTAGAATTGTACAAATGGAGGGGCTGACCTCCTGGAGGGCTGAAGGGAGGGGCCAAAAAGCTGTGAGCCACTTCGGGTACAAACTTTTTCAAAAACGTGAAACAGAAATTCAGGGATTTTCTTTTTTTTCTTTTTAAACATTAAAAAATGGAAGTTTCTAAGACAGAAAGTGTGTTTATATATCCCTCTTCACTCTTTTATTTTCCCCCCCCCCCCCTGAGTCCTCATTCACAATGATCCCTAGGAACTCTTGATGTCAGTTCTATAAATATGGTTCTGTCATATAGCAATTGAGGTCATGTTTACAGAAAAGGACTTGAGACAACTCGTATATAAAGTGAGAACTATTACCCAAAACACAAGTGTAATAGCAGTACAAAGCAAACAATATGAGTCAGGATTTACTGGGCTTATATAGACTTACAGATCTATCCATTGGGGATACCTTTTGCGATAGCTAGGCAACTGTAAAGTTGCTGCTTCTTGAGTTCGTTGAGGTCTTGATATTTTAAACTCAAGCTAGCTGCATGTTGTATCAAACTTGTACATAAACCGTATTTGACCTAATAAATGCATTGTCGGCTTAACAAAAATGCAAGAGTGGTGTGCTTAGTAAGTTCCTTTCGCGCTAAAACCGTCCGAAACTGACCCATGTCCAGGTGTAAAAAAAGCCTTCCAGACCTGTTTCCAGTTGCCACGTTGTCGCTACAGAAGTGAGTCATGTATCTGCAATATTTTGTGAGAGCTTCCTGTTCAAAATGGGTGCTTACTGGTCATATTCATATGAAATTTGTATTTATTCAGCAAATAGATATAAAATGTTTTTAGAATGTAGATCAGATTGCATTGTGTGTAAATATTCAAGTTTACAAATAAAAGACATACAAAGTAACAGATTTATATTGATTCTGCCTATATATAACTCAAAGTACCAGGGTGTTTAAAAACCAAAGTAGGCCAGATACAATGTAAATACATCTATGCACCATAATATATTTTGAATTGAGGCCCTATAACCACGGATAATAATTTGTGAACCGCTTTGAGATGACCTACGAACTAGATTGTGATATAGCAGCATATAAGAACCTCAAATTATCATTATTATTTACAGTTATGTCCATATTTCGTACACTTTCTGATGGAGCATTACGTATACATAATAACCTGTATATATTTTTATACAAACACACTATTACATATGGTAGACTACTTAGTTATTCAATTTTGAGCTTGTTTAACCAGTTTATATATGTATAAAAGGCCATGACAGGCTATAAATAGACTTAAAGTATGTATGTGATAAACGGAAAAGTTTTCATTATTTTTAATTTTAAGGTTTTGATATATAAGTGAATAATCATCAGCTTAAAGCTATTTTATACTGTGTACAAGAAGCTTTTGACTGGTCAAATATTCGCCCCTCACCAGTAAAACTCCTGTTTGACTAGTGGATATTTTGCCCCTTACTTTATAGGCAATGTTGTGCACATGAATATTCACTGCCATTCATGATAAACTTACCCTCACTACAGAGGACTAAAAAGACAAAAGTTATACTGCAGCAAAAATTATCCTGTATGCTGAGTATTGTCCTCATCGTTCATATACAAAATTTCCCAAACAAAGTTTCGTTGGGACATACCATTTACTTGTCCAGAAAAAAAAACCATGCCTGGTAATAAGCCCATCCATATGTCAAATACAGTTCAGTATAATATACTATGAAATGCCATATAACTGCCCTGGAAAATTTTGAGTCCTTAATGTGATCACATGCACCTGACCCCCTGGGTTTATACGTATTTATTAAAGCATTTAAATTAGAAAATAATTCTTTGCAGTTGGTCTTTACTCATTCACCTGAAGTTGTAACTTTGATTAGGGAATAATCATGAAGTCATATACCTGCCTAATTAATAAGTATAGCATTGTCACAAACGTCCAATGAAATCTAAACACCAATTTGTAGAGGCAAGTTTCTGAGGTTTCCATTTGTAAGATGTGTGTAACTCATTCACCCCTGAAATTTCATTATGAACTATTCCTGCCTCTGAATTGGAAGAGTTCAAATGTGTCTTCAGGGGAGAATGAGTTAAATGTACTTGACAGTGATTGATCTCCATCGCCCTGAAGCATGATAAGTTAAGTTGTCGCTCACACACCAATTAAAATTCAACATTACTGGTGATGTGATGCAGTGTGTTTTTAATCTCTCTATCAATAGTTCAAATGTTCAGGGTTGAGTGACAAAAAAAAATAATATAATTTTGTCACATCATTGTACAGGTAAAACATACAAATAACTCCATCAGCATGACAAAGGGATCTTGAAACGTTATGAACACGTTTAATACGTACATTATATATTGTTTGTGTGTAAGGTAAAACTTCAGTATTACATATTTCCAAACTGATGAATCTTATTGAAAATACTGGTAATTATTGATACTTCGTGTTCGGAGTGGGATATATTAAGGCCCGTTATACCGGTCACTGCAAGCATAAACATTCAGATTACTTGATCATAGGTTTACAAGTTGGAAATGAGAGGTGCACACAGGTCAGGTAGCAGTGGGTGAAACATCCAGGAGATTGACACTTGGTATCTGTTTTGCCGCTCCCAAATCAAAGTGTTAAGATAAAAGGTGAAATAAGTTACAATATATATAGCTGAAATTATTCACAAGGGATTTAATTTTGCTATATTTGTAGACATCAAAACAAAAATTGCTGTGACTTGGAAAAATTGCCATGAATTTATACCACCTGAGTATATGTTTACTACCCAAAAATCTAGTTGAAAAAATTGAGAGAATCAGTTGCGCAGAGTTTTGACTTAATATAGTCATGCAGTGTTGCAAGAAATTAAATCCTGGTGAAATAGTTGTGATTGGGACAACCACGAAATAATAGCCCGGTGAAATTCACCCCTGAACTTGCTTGGTATACCCATGTCATAAACTATGTCAATCATGACGTTTGCAGAAATTATTTGTCGAAAATATTGTTGATTTTGTCCAAAAAGTAACTTTTGAATGCAAAATTAGAGTGGCGCAAAATTGCATTGAATATTATAATTCATGAAAAAAATCACCTGTACATGTTATTATTATCGAGAAAAATGGTAAGATAATGCTTCAAATCTCAAGATTGATGGCATGTATTTTCATTAAATATTTTACATTATTCATGAAGCTAACAAGGCTATTGATACAAGTCAAGCCAGATTACCTGAGTCGGAGAACCTGTAGTGTTTTCAATGGTGTACAGGTAAAATCTCAATTGTTTTTCATGGGTTTTTTCAACCTCAGTCAGCCTTGTTGGCTTTGTGATCAGTTTTGATTTATAAGTGAAAATTTATGCCATTATTCTGGAGATTTGACACATTTTCTTACATTTTTTCTTGATAATAGTGAATATAGGTATTTTTTCTTGATAATAGTGAATATAGGCAAGTTTTTTCATTAATTTTATTCTTCATTGCAATTTTGCGCCACTCAAATTCTGCATTCAAAAGTCACTTTTAAGACAAAATCAACAATATTTTTGACCAAAAAATCTACGAAGGTCATTATTGACATTTCTCTTGACATGGGTATACCAACCAACTTCCATTCTTTATTCATTTTGAGGAAAGTTATGAGCCCATTACAAACTACATACACTGGCATGACGCTGTATGAAATACCTTAAACATTAAATAACATCAATTTCTTATTGTAGTAATAATGTTTGACTTTTGTTAATCTTCAGATGTGAAGATAAAGACGGGCAGGTCTGGCCCACCTGCCATGAAGCCTGGCTACAAGTACATCAATCCTGGTCAGGAGGATCAGATGGTGAGTCATTCAGACTGTAGTCATCATATTCATCATTACTGAATATTCTTTCCGAAACTTATTTGTTATCATGGAAATTTTAAAGTCACTTAGTCACTCAGGTCAGTGACCTATTGCGATTGTTTTTGTTTTGTCTGTCACAGTCATTGTGTGTTGTGCGTAATAAATTATTGGTCACATACTATGTTTATGTTTATAACTTCAGAGCCAGCTACTTACAACCTTTTTCTCAATCCAAGCATATAAAATATAAAATTCTTGCGTATTGAATAACTACTTTAGCATTGATCAAGGTCAGATATATGTGGTAAAACTGACAGCAAAATTTTGGCAGGACCATATACCTACATCAGCCAAATAACAATTAGGTCAAAGTGACCATCACCCATTGTTCAATGGTTAAACAAGTGCAAAATTTTGATGAAATCTAGTATGTAAATTCTAAATTATTGATAATATTTTTGTGAAACTTGAGCAATACATTTGCAACAGCAACAGAAGGTGTGCAGTGTACTTCATTTAGGTCATGACCTTCACCTAAAGGTCAAATAAGTGTAAAACAAATATTTCTATATGCTGAAAATGGGAGACATACGTTTTTGTTAACAAAAATTACTCTCCAGGTTTCATCCCAAAAGAAATGACATTGAAATGACAATTGTCTGAATCCTGCCATGAATACTGTATACTTGGATATTGTTGCTGCAGTTCATCGTGCCATGAATACTATATAATTGGATATTGTTGCTGAACTTTATCGTGCTATGACTACTGTATAATTGGATATTGTTGCTGCACTTTATCGCGCCATGAATACTGTATAATTGGATATTGTTGCTGCAGTTTATCGTGCCATGAATACTGTATACTTGGATATTGTTGCTGCAGTTTATCGTGCCATGAATACTGTATGCATGGATATTGTTGCTGCAGTTTATCGTGCCATGAATACTGTATACTTGGATATTGTTGCTGCAGTTTATCGTGCAATGAATACTGTATACTTGGGTATTGTTGCTGCAGTTTATCGTGCCATGAATAATTTATAATTGGATATTGTTGCTGCAGTTTATCATGCCATGAATACTGTATACTTGGATATTGTTGCTGCAGTTTATCGTGCCATGAATAATTTATAATTGGATATTGTTGATGCAGTTTATCATGCCATGAATACTGTATACTTGGATATTGTTGCTGCAGTTTATCATGCCATGAATAATTTATAATTGGATATTGTTGCTGCAGTTTATCGTGCCATGAATACTGTATAATTGGATATTGTTGCTGCAGTTTATCATGCTATGAATACTGTATACTTGGATATTGTTGCTGCAGTTTATCGTGACATGAATACTGTATACTTGGATATTGTTGCTGCAGTTTATCATGCTATGAATACTGTATACTTGGATATTGTTGCTGCAGTTTAATTCCGACTATTTTGCTCTTTGCAATAGGGATGAATTTATCACGACTGTGAATATGATTATACAACTTATCATATGCAATGTATTGTAATTATGTCTCCCCTTCGAAGGAAGACACATTATATTAGTACTGGTTCTTCTTCTTGTTCTTCTGGTTCTTCTCTGGTTCTTCTAATCGTAACTTGTCCGGGCCATAACTTTCAAACTGTTAAAGATATCTTGATGAAACTGGAGGTATGCCTGCATAACCCACAGAAGGTGTGTTGTGCACTAGAATTAGGTCACTGTGACCTTCACATCAAGGTCAAAGGTAAAATAAGTGCAACATTTTTCTGTAAATACTTGTCCGGCCCATACATTTTCAGCCATTAAAAATATCTTGATCAAACATGAAGTATATGTGCATTACTCACAGAAGGTGTACAGTGCACTGAAATGAGTTATGGCCCTTTGTTTATTTTTAATACCAAAGTTTGCACGGAGCATAAGTTCAATGTTATTTCACCTAATTTGACCAAACTTACCATATATATGTTTCTTGGGAAGGTGGAATCTTTTTGCACTTAATTTGGGTCTCCTGCCCAACTATATACAGAGTTATGGCCCTTTGTTTATTTTTTAATTCAAGTTTGTCCACAGCATAACTTCTAAACTGTTTAAGTTATCTTGATCAAACTTGAAGTATACCTGCATCACCTACAGAAGGTATGCAGTGCACTAGAATTAGGTCTTGTGCTTTACTATGTACAGAGTTATAACCCTTTGTTTATTTTTAATACCGAAGTTTGTCCGGAGCATAAGTTCCAAGTTATTTCACCTACGTTGACCAGCTTACCGTATTTATGTATCTTTGGAAGGCGGAATCTCTCACATTTAAATCAGGTCTCCTGCCTGACTATATACATAGTTATGGCCCTTTGTTTATTTTTAATACCGAAGTTTGTCCACGGCATAACTTTTATGTTATTTCACCTACGTTGACCAAACTTGCTAACTATATAATTATGTATCTTGGGAAGTAGGAGTGTCGCATTCTAAAATTGGGTCTCGTGCCCCACTATATAAAAAGATATGTCCCTTTGTTAATATTTTATATCGAAGTTTGTCTGCTGCGTAAGTTCCATGTTATTTCTCCTACATTGACCAAACTTGCTATAAAAAATAATGAGCTAATAGAGGAACCGGATCGAATTCCTATTTTTATATACATGTAAATGTGTCTATAGTACCATAGCTGCCAAAACTTAACCAAATTGTCAAGACAATTTAACATGAACCAGAATAATTTAAAATTTTAATGGTTTAGATCCAAGTTTACACAACTTAATCTTGATGCGTCCTTTCTATTCTTCCAAATATGCATATTGGCTAATAAGGGGAGACATATTTCTAGTTACATTTGAAGGGCAAAATTAAGAAGAAGTGAAATGTAGTTAAGGCCCAAAACAAAAAGATGTCTGTTTAGGGTTCCCGACCGACCCTAGCTATTTACCCCCGACCCAAAACTTTTTGATGAAAAAAACAAACAAACAAAAACAAACAAAATATTTTTTTCAAAACCCAGCTGATTTCGGAATTTAAGAAGGTTCTTTGCCTTTCAAAATGGCTTCCAGCTCCATGTTGGCGCTAAATGTCATCAGATGGAGCACAATTTGCCTCCAAATGAACCTTGTTTATGTAATTCTTTGTTTTACATATAATAGTAGGGTCATAATCACATGACCACAAGGTACATAAAAATATACAAAAAAAAAACGACCTACCTACCCTTGTTTTTTAGCTCACCTGCCCAAAGGGCAAATGAGCTTATGCCATGGTCCGGCGTCCGTCTGTCCGGCGTCAACTTCTTACTTTAACAACTTCTTTTCAGAAACCAAAAGGCCTAGGATGATGATATTTGGCCAGTAACATGCTTGGATGAAGGGCTACCAAGTTTGTTCAAATGAATGACCTTCATCTATTTTCAAGGTCACAGGGGTCAAAAATGTTAAATACCTTTCAACAACTTCTTCTCAGTAACTAAAAGGTTAAGGGTGATGATATTTGGCCAGTAACATGCTTGGATGAAGGGCTACCAAGTTTGTTCAAATGAATGACCTTCATCTATTTTCAAGGTCACAGGGGTCAAAAATGTTAAATACCTTTCAACAACTTCTTCTCAGTAACTAAAAGGTTAAGGGTGATGATATTTGGCCAGTATCATGCTTGGATGAAGGGCTACCAAGTTTGTTCAAATGAATGACCTTCATCTATTTTCAAGGTCACAGGGGTCAAATATGTTTAAAACCTTTAAACAACTTCTTCTGAACTACCAAGAGGCCTAGGGTTATGATATTTTGCCAGTTAGATGCTGGGATGAAGAGATACCAAATATGTTCAAATGAATGACCTTGACAATTATTCAAGGTCACAATGGTCAAATATTTTTAAAACCTTGAAACGACTTTTTCTCAATAAGCAAAAGGCTAAAGGTGATGATATTTGGCCATTAACATGCTAGGATTAAGGACTACCAGGTTTTTTCAAATGAATGACCTTCGTCCATATGCAAGGTCACAGTGGTCAATATATGTTTAAATCTTTAAATGACTTGTTCTGTATAACCAAAAGGTCCAGGGTAATGATATTTTGCCAGAAGCATGCTTGGTTGGACGACTATAAACTCTGTTCAACCTTATGTCCTTGTTCGACATTCAAGGTCACAGGCGTCGTATGTTTAAATCTTTTAATAGGTTCTTATGAGTCAAACACTGATATTCTGCTGTATTTTAGTCCACTTTAAAGATTATTTGTGAGATTAATACTAGGTGAGCGATTCAGGCCCATTGGGCCTCTTGTTTCCATAGAACCACCATGTCTAGAATAATGACATTAAGCCAGAAGAGCATGCATGCAGATGTGAAAATTTGTTCAAATTACAGGTTGATGAAATAAACAATAGAAATACATTTTGATTCGTTTGCCATAGTGTCTTCATTGGCTTTACTGGGTTAAAATTTAAAGATCTGTTTTGCCAACGCCATTTAATAAAAGGTGAGTAATGCATGCCCTGTATACTTGCAGCATCCTAATTGTTATGCTTAAAAAAAAGTTGTTTTTTGTTTGTAAAATTTTATGATTTGAAATTTTATATGTTTGTACATAGGAAATCCATGGCTACGAGAGAAGTATTGTGTGGACAGTCATTGTGTGGATAGGTATCTTCCTCACCGTCGGTCTGCTGCGACTCTTCTTTTATTGGTTCCCGCACCTCATGGTCCGGTCTACACACTCCAAGTGTTCCCTGTCCATCGCCACTATCGTCGTACTCAAGGTCAGTACAAGGTCAGAGGTCTTCAACAGTGTTCAAGGTCAACAAACTTTATACACAAAATTAATCCCAAGGTCAAGGTCATTGTGAGTGAGCAAGGTCAGCCAGATTGATTATTGTATGTTGAACGATAATTTGAGTTTGGCAATCCCCCCCGTCCCCTTGCTGAACTTTTTCAGGTTTTATTGTATAACCTGGAAAAAAAAGGCAACCCGAAAAAGTGATGATGTTTTATACCACAATGTTTTGCGCAGTATTTGCAATACTAACTTCTGATTGGTTCAGGTTGCTTGGCGATGAAAGTACTGCGCAATGTTGTGTTTTGTGTACAATTATTTTGTTTTTATCAGCAATGAATAAATATTTATTAACTATGAATTAAAAATTATTGTCTGTCTTTTTAAATTAAATCATAAGGAATACTGTAAACGTGGTTATTTACGCTGGGTGAAAATTACGCGATTTGAAGGTCAAAACTATACGCGCGGGGGTAATTTACGCGGTCGCAGTAGACCGACGTTTACTCTGCAGAGTTATCTCCCTTACTTTACAAAATGTGTACTGGTAAAAATACTAGTAGCTTCTGAGTACATGTTACGTATGCGTACCGACTGGTCATCATATGCGCCGGGGAAATTTACGCGGATGATCCAACTACGCAAAATAAGCGTAAATTTCTCCCGCGTCTAATATTCCACGTTTACAGTAACCATGATTATATTTGGGATTATATGGTATATACTGAAAAAAATTGTGTGCATTTTTGTGCATAAACCACTAAGCAATATACAATAATTGCATGTACGGTATGTTAAGATGGTATTGTTGTTACTTGATCAATTGATGCTGTTAAAGGGAGGTAACTACTCACATGATTTATTTCGGATTTATTGATCTATTTATAGGACCAGTATCTCCAGTGGTATGTGTCCCGTGTCCGACAGATGGTAGTCGGCGGTCAAGTTGAAAATACAGCCAGGTCGGTAGAGGTTAAAATCAATTAATTACAATTCGAGGTTCTTATATACCGCTTGATCACAACCTAGTTCGTAGGTCATCTCAAAGCGGTTCACAAATTATTATCAATGGTTATAGGGTCTTTGCAACCAGCCAATATCTTTCTCAATTCATTGGGGAGCATACAGCCGGAGCTGCCATTTCGGTGCTCACAGCTAGCATTCTACAATTCTAGCACTGCCCAACCACATACTCATTTACAGCTGAGTAGACTGGAACAAGCGGAGTAAAGTATCTTGCTTAAGGATACAAAACCGTGCCGTGCCATGGCTTGAACCAGCAACCCTTCGGTCACGAGCTCGGCATCCTACCACTAGACTACCGTGTCTCCATAATGCCTCCGAAAGTTGTTGGGAAAGTAAATGATCACATGACTTGGAACATAGATCTTTTGTTAAGTCAATTCAGATTTCAAACTCTTGGCTAAGAATTTTTCAAGGAATAAAATATAATCTCGGAAAATTGGAATTTCTCAAAAGACACTTGACGATTCCTTCTACACAAATCAGCACATCATTCTCCAGTTTTATTTTTAGTTTTACTTTATACACAAACAATGTACGTATTAAACATGTTCCAATGTTTCAAGACTGACTGGTCCCTTTGTCAAGCTATGACTAAATGAGAGATTTTTTTTTGTTTTTCATTACAAGGGTGTGACGAAATTGTCTATTTCATATATCACTCGACATAGGACGTTTCGTATCATATAGGTTACTGGTAGGGTGTAGATATAGCCTCCTTTTGAACTCCTGTTAGTTCAGTATTAGGTCATACAGATGACTCAGCTGGTGTCCCCCCTCGTCTCTGTTCATGTTTGAGTTTTCCTGATTTTGAAACAATGCGACAGGTTTAATACATATAGTTTTTGTGTATTAAGTAAAACTTTGATGTTACATGTTTCCATACTATTGAATCTTATTGAATATCCATATTCATTCAAATTTTGTTTTTGTTTTCTGCAACAGACCAAAACTAGAACGAGGTAACTCTACTGTGAGTTTTACAAAACTTGATGAAAATGAACAGTCGACTGAGGCTGGAGGTATGGTAAGTGTATTGGAAATGGTATGTGAAGGTATCTGGGATTAGGGTTGATGTTAATTTAACGGAAAGAAACAGCAACAGGGGCAATTCATTTAAGATATACCCACAACAGACTTTACCATATTAAAGGACGAACTATTTAAAGTCGGAGTGGTGAAAATTTGGAATAATTTACCGTCAGAGGCGGTAAATACACGAACTTTAAATTCATTTAAGAATAGGCTAGATAAATGCTGGAAAAATCAGAAAATGTAATATAACTGTAGAGCACCAATTGAAAGCGAACTTCAAGTTTGTTGCGATACAACGATCAAATCCAGTGAAGAGGCCCTATAATAGAGGTCCTGCACTGGAAACTAACTCTAAGTAACTCTAAATATTATAAGTTATAATTTACTATAAACTGAATTTGAGAATGTCCTACAGAGATGTATGCATTATCTTTATCTTGTCAGGACACAATGTTTAAGGATTTTCATCAACAACATCAGCCTCAATAGGGGGAAAAAGTGTTTAAAATCCCACTTTTTGAGTTAGGTACAATATCAATTGACCTGGAGTTTCAAAGTTTCTGCATTGTAATTGAAGAGTGTGACTGCTCCGGGCTATGGTGGCAGAGGGACAAGGATTTATAGGGGAAATATAGGTAAAGTTTTGAAAGCCTACTTCTTTGGAATGGATAAAGGGATTCTAACATAAACGTGTCTGCAGCATCCATGACAGGCCCAGAAGACTCGACATGGTATAATCTGATGTGGGTGCAGCCCCTCTGGATGCAGAAGGGCAAGGCCTAATAAGTGATATTAAGTTAACCAATAAAACCCTATTCCTTCATTGCATGTTAAGGAATTTTAGATTTATTTGGACTTGACCCAGTTGAGCAGAAGGGTGAGAGATAAGAGACAGAATTTTAAATGCCTGCTCTTTTCTTTATTGATGAAAGCTTAACCTTATTTCATTGAAACATTCCCTTGACCAGGGAAAAAAGGATATTTATAAAACAATTTCCCTGGACCAAGGAAAGAAATATATTACTAAAAGGTATCACTTCTGTTGGCAGATGGACTTGATCTGAAAGGGATTGTAGAGTCTAGATTTTTTTGATTTTTTTTGTAGTCTTTTGATATATTTGTATATATGTCTGAGTTACCTGGGATTTAAAATTTTAAAAAAGAACCATTAAGTGACCTATTAATTCCCCTCTGCCTCTTGTTTTATTTACAGGAACAAATCAAATCCATACGGTTTTTCGTCACGAAGAAAGTTAAATTTTTGTGGAACGCTGATGGACAATTCTTCGAGAAGGCCAGGTAAAATAGCCATATTCTACAACTTTTTCAATTAAGCGAATCGTTTTATTTGCCATTCAATTGGCTGAGAGAGACACTTTGACCCTGCATGGACCCTTAGGCACATAGGAGCCTCAGCTGAGCGCCCCTCGTGTATCTCAATACCATTCTGCAAGTTAACTCATTCACCCCTGAAGACACATTTGAACTCTTCCAATTCAAAGGTTGGAATAGTTCATTATGATATTTCAGGGGTGATTGTAGGGATCGGTAACTGGTATATGTAGCTCCTAGTGCTTTACAACCACAGAGTAAGTTTGCAGTCTCCTTGTTGGCGCCTTATTGTCAACTTGTCTGTCTCCTAGTACACAATAAACCATGCTACATCTGTGGAAATGTGCAAAAAAGATCACTGCATAGAGATGTATGCGTTTTTAAGGGATATAGTGTTGCCGATGCCCATCCCGTCCCGTCGTAATTTTTTGGGGGGTTTCAAGGACTAAACATCGTGATTGAAGAGTGCGACTGCCCCTATGGTGACAGAGGGACAGGGACTTATAGGGGAAATATAAGTAAAATTTTGAAATCCTACTTCTTGCGAACGAATGAAGGAGTTCTAACATAAACTTATCTTGAGCTTCCATAGGCCCAGAGGACTCAACATGGTATAATCTGATAAGGGTGCTGGCCAGGTAAAAAAAGCCATATTCTACAAAGTTTACAATTTAGAGAATTGTTTCATTTGACATTCAATAGGCCATGCTACATCTTTGGAAATGTCTGGGAGTGTTTTGTAACAGGAGACAGGAAAACCCATATACATTAAAATACTAATGCGGCACAATTATCAAGCTATTTGTAATTGACAAAGATTAAGGTAATTTGCTTCTAGCTGGCTTCATTCTTGAAGAAATCGCAGAGCCATTTTTTTTACCATGGACAAAAGTGTTTTTTTAAATTTTAGAGCAGTTACTTCTGGTTAAAATGCCATTACCAGGTTCGAGTCCTTGTACCACTGCAAACAAACAGTAATTATAAGACTTGGCACACATACTTAATGCAAAAACTGTAAGGGGGATTAATAATTATTTTGCAGTGGATTGGCCGATTCCTCGAGCTGCTCATTCTTCCATCGACAGACAGGTCTCAGTGCGGAGGATCAGGTGAAAAAGTAAGTCTGCATATAGTATAACCTTAACTCATTCACCCCTAATGTTTCATAATGAACTATTCCAACCTTTGAATTTGAAGAGTTCAAATGTGCCTTCATGAGTGCATGAATGTCAAAATGTCAATGATAATTTTACAATTGTTGATGTTTTATGAGGTCAGTGAAAGGATTTATCATCCCAAGAAATATTGTTGTTCATTGACCTTAGTTGTTAAAAGGATGTTAAACACAATTAAACCAAACCAAACCAAGGGAAGCTGACCTATCAAAAGTGGACGCTTTGGTTTAAAGTTGCTGATGCGGTAAAATAAAAATAAAATGATATTTATAAAGTTTATTTATTTTTCGTTCCAGGAGAGTGATATATGGTGTCAATTCTATAAGAGTACACGTGACACCTGTATTTGAGTTAATCTTTAAACAGGTGAGTGACATTTTCGTCTGAATATCATTTGTAATGTGATCAAAAGATGGTTTCCTGAAAAATGGTTGAATATTTACATTGTGGATCCACTATAAGGTGTTAGGGTTATGGTCCAACATCATAGGAATGTTTATACCTGTATAAACTAAAACAAATTCTAAATTTGATGAAATGTAGATTCTCACCAATTAGTACAAATTGATTGAATCATTATAGATTTAATGGAGAGTGGATTATATTAGTTTGAATTTTTATTTTGTGTTAGCTCAAAAAGTACACATTTTACCTTCAAGAAGCCTTTGTTCGTATTCAAAATTGAAGAAACAAAAATTTAAAAAAAGAATATCAAATTTGGAAAATATTTCATATTTAGAGATCCAATATAAATATTGGATAGTATATATCGGTGAAGTGCCGTTTCTAAAGACAAAATTTTAATAAGATATTTTGTTTATTGTTTTACAAGTTATAGTGCTTTTATTTTCAGATTATCTCCCCTTTCTACATTTTCCAAATCTTTTCCTGTTCCCTGTGGTATGCGGATGAGTACTATTACTACGCTTCCTGTATTGTCCTGATATCCACCATCTCCATCATGGTCTTCATTTACCAGACTCGGAAGGTATATATATAATCAAGGTCAAAGGTCGGAGCGTGAAAAATGGAAATGGAAGATTGCATAACTACAATGCATCATTCATGTGTTTTATTCAAAAATTTCACAAAATTTGAATCCAAACATTCTTTTCATTCAATAAAAATATTTAGACTTTTTTTTTATTCGAAATGTTTTGGGCAAAAAATCTCATTGTTAAAATAAAAGACCTGTTTAATCACTTTTGACATATGAATATTTTTAAGGGACATGACGTTTCCTTTCAATAATTTGTTTATTTGGGGTAAAATGTCCTCTCAACAGCCACCATTTGTTTCAGTAACATTTTCTTTATTTTATTTTAATCAAAACTACTTTCTTTATACATTGTATTTCAATAATTTTGTTGATTTTTTTTAAATTTAAAAATATTTTTGGGCAAAATATCTGATGATTGGTGTAAAGAATTTAAATCAATTTCAATAGAATAGAATGTAATGTATAGATGTAGCTAAAATGGCTGCGAACCCATGATAATTTTTCCTCTTTTGTGTCAGATGCAGAGGGCTCTCCGTAACACCATCGCTTCATCAACTATACTGACAGTGTGTCGAGATAATGGAGGTATTTCTCATTGACTTTCTTAACATGCCTAGAACCATGATAATTGGCAGGTAGTTTCCTTTGTTGGAGCCTGACAAAGCTTTGAAAAATGAAATGACTTATGTATACTTTCGATGTTACAGTAACCTATACTGTCAAAGTTACAGTAACCTATACTGTCAAGGTTCCAGGGGTTGAAACAGGTCAAAACTTCATACCAATTCTTGTTATGAACCAAAAGGTCTAGAGGTGTGATATGTAGCTTGTTCATTTTACCTGGTATACATCTATAGTTGTGTGCAGACCAGCTCAGTGGTCAAATGGATGAAGAAATTAACCCTTTCACCACTGTGGACCATAATGGACTCATCCAGATAAATGTATGGTAGAGTCTACTAAAGATACTTTGGGGTGAAAGGGTTAAGAACCCATCTGATGATGGAGCTGGTCTGCATCTAGCTGAATATTGCAAATTAATTGAGGTCTTTCAGTTCTTAACAACAACAACAAAACCCAAAGAACTAAAAGGCCTCAAGTTACAATATTTAGCTTGTCTATATACATATTGTAGTCTATGAAGAAATCTCATCAGACGACTTGGTGCCAGGGGATGTTATCGAGATTCCACGCCATGGATGTATCATGCAATGTGATGCCGTCCTTGTCCGTGGCAACTGCATCGTCAATGAGAGCATGCTTACAGGTATACTAGCTGAAAATCTCTTATTGTTATTAATAAAGTTTTCTTCTTACTGTCAAATCTAAACAACTTACAAGTTATCATTTTGTCCGTAGATCAGTCGCATGTCTCTGAAAATATAATTTTGCATTAATCATGGAAAGAGTTGATTTATGAATGCAAAGTATCATGCAGATATTTATATGTGCGCAAACAATTAATATTCATGTATATATGACAAATTGACTATTTATTATAATTTGTTTTTTCACTTCTCATTTGAATTTTTCAAAATGCAAATCAGTTTGAAGAATAATCTTGAAAAATAAGTGTTCAGGTAAATTAATAAATTAACAATTATTTCAAGTATTAAGTACATGTATTAAAAGTATCCTCGACCCCTGCTACTACCCCTCTAGTTAGCTAGTTAGCCCTCGGCAGACATGATAATTTATATCTGTAAGAGTTCTTTTCTTTGGATTATAATATTGTTGAAAACTTTGCCTAAATTTTAATTATTTTTGATCTCCTGAAAAAAGACAATGTGTTTGAACCCATATATTGGCACACTTTTTGTTGACTTTCTGCGCTTGCTATCAGTGTCACTGCCTCTAAAATGTTTGAATTCTATATCTAGGTCCTGTTTTGCAACTTCTTGATAAACTCCATATCTTTCAGACTCTTTGTTTATAATTGTTATAGGTGAAAGCGTGCCGGTGACCAAGACGCCACTCCCCAATCCCCGCGAGTCGGGAACAGAAGACAAACCTTTCAGTATGAAGGAACATGCACGTCATGTACTATTCTGTGGCACGAAGGTGATACAGACTCGTTACTATGACAACCAGCGAGTGAGGGCCATAGTTGCTCGTACCGGTAACTATCAGAACTAAACAGCTATTAACAGGTCAACCAATCCCAGTGGAGCGGATTCTGATAGTTGTTCAAAGCGTGTAAACTCTCACATTGTGGAAGCAAATTTTCAAAATGTGTTTGTTGAGAACTGTAGAAATTTATGAATATTTCTGTGTTCATTATTATTAGAAGATTATATTAAATATAGCCATACCAATGCAACTTTGTTTTGAAATCAGATCTTTTAGAAAAAATACAAGTTCAAATAATGTTTCCTTTTGATATCACTTTCTATTACCACTGGTGAATAAATCACAGACAAGAACAATTTTCATACGTATTGCAGAGTTATCTGCTCTTGTGAGCAGGTATTGATTGTTGCGTCATTTGTTTGTGAGAGTAACGTCATACATTTTTGAGAAAACAACATAATTTTCTCACACAAACAAATGGCGTAACAATCAATACCTGCTCACAAGAGCAGATAACTCTGCAATACAAAAAGGAGGAATACAGGCTGTATTCTCCCCAGGGAGTTGAGAAAGATATTGGCTGATTGCAAAGGCCCTATAACCACGAATAATAATTTGTGAACAGCTTTGAGATGACCTACAAACTAGATTGTGATAAAGCTGTATACAAGAACCTCGAATTATTATTATTATTATTCTATTAATTTTTGGTTGTAGGGTTCACAACATCTAAAGGGGAATTAGTCCGGTCCATCCTCCATCCCAAGCCTGTCGACTTCAAGTTTAACCGGGATACCTACATATTCATAGGGATTCTGGCCGCCATAGCTGGTTTAGGTTTCATCTACACTATTATACTGATGGTAAGTTGCACAGTTTGGTTTCTTTGTGTTTTATGTCCTATCAACAGCTATTGTCATTTAAGGACATGCCAGGTTTTGATGGTGGAGGAAGGCAGGGGTTCCTGGAGAAAAAACACCGACCTATGGCTAGTACCTGGCGACTGCCCCACGTTGGTCTCGAACCCGCGACCTAGTGGTGGAGGGCTAGTGGTCGTAGACGGTCAGACGCGGTCCCTGCAGTCAGTATCTGGCGACTGCCCCACGTAGATCTCGAACCCGCGACCCAGTGGTGGAGGCCTAGTGATTGCAGAATGTCAGACGCCTTAACCACTTGGCCATCTTGCCCCCAAAGTTGCACAGGCTCCTGCAATATCAGTTTAATTTTGGGTATTGAACCCCAATGATAGACTTTCAGGTTAAATAGTTTAACCTAAAAACCTGAGAACACAGAAAGTGATGGGGTTGTTTACGTTTACCACAATATTTGGTGTTTGTGCAAAACTTTTTTTTTGTTTTCATCAAAAATTAATGATAATGTTAAATTTATCTTGCACCCCCATTCTACATGGTTGACATCATAATTAACAACCTGACGTAAAATTATGAAATTGCGACACTCTTTAAGTGGTTTCAGAACTAACGGTAGTGATTTTAATGAGAGAAGAATACTCCTTCATGCCCAGAGGTGTCGGATAGGGATATTCAATCTTCAGTATTTTCAAATTGGTGCAACACCCTTGGTAATGGGGGGGGGGGGGTTATACAAAGGTCAAGTATGAGAGTTCTGACCTATGACAGCTTTGTTTTAGGGTTCCAAGGTCAAGGCAAAGGTCACCATTGCTATTTATAGAAACTCATTAACCAGTGTCATCCATTAACCAACTATACTTGGATGGATTTTGATCAAAATTTATACAAAGGTCAAGTACATACTAAATATAGAAAGCCATAACTATTTATAGCACAGTATCAAACACTGGCACTAGTTTCACATGGCGGCAGGGGCATTTATTGTCTCACAGATATTTTCTAGTTGTTCCTGATTTGTGTGTTGTATAGATTGTTCGCTCACCTGGTCCAAAGGACCATAGTGAGCTTATGCCGTGGCGCAGCGTCCATCGTCGTCCTTCATCAACTTTTTCTTTAAAACTTATCTCCTTCTAAACACCAAAGAGGATTTCAACCAAATTTAGTCTGAAGCATCACTAGGGGAGGGCAGTCATTTCTGAAATAAATGAAGTTGGTGCGACCCCTGAGGCCAGGGGGGCGGGGCCCTTAAGGGGACCTTAGCTAAATTTTCTTTAAAACGCATCTCTTACTTGGGGCCAGTGAGGATTTCAACCAAATTTTGTCTGAAGCATCACTAGGGGAGGGCAATCATTTCTTAAATAAATGAGGCTGGTTCGACTCCTGAGGCCAGGGGGGCGGGGCCCTGAAGGGGAACTTAGCTAAATTTGCTTTAAAACACATCTTCTCCTAAACCCCAGAGACGATTTTAACCAAATTTTCTCTCAAACTTCATTGGGGGACGGCAATCATTTCCTAAGTAAATGAGGCTTGTTCGACCCCTGGGGGCTAGGAAGACCGGGCCCCAAAGAGGAAAATTATCTAATATTTTGCTTTAAGACGCTAATACCCCCATATTGCCTGAGTGGACTGTACAAAATTTGGTCTAAAACATTATTTAGGAAGAACAAACATTTCTTAATTGAATGAGGTTGATTTGACCTCTGCAGTCCTAAGAAATGGTACAGCTAGATTATCATATTCTATGGTGTAGCTTTCATAAATTTAAAACAAATGGTTTCTAGGTTTAAAAAAGCTTATAGTTGAATGAAAATTAAAGTATTGTCTCATTACACCCTGTAATATGACATATAACTTATTTCAAAATCTGTTAACATGGCAACTCAATGGAGGCCCCTGATTAGTTGAAAGTCAGATATTGTGGTCCCAGTTGGGTAAGAACATAGATCTTGTCTGGTTTTGAGGAAATTTCATATAAAGATGTACTAATGCATTTAGTTGTAATGACTTATATATAAAACCAGGTGAGCGATACAGGTCCACTGGACCTCTTGTTGTTATTTTCTAATGTGTTATATTTATAGGTGATTGATGAAGATGAGCCGGGTGAAATTGCCCTCCGTGCCCTCGACCTCATCACTATTGCCGTACCACCTGCCCTCCCTGCCGCCCTCACTGTGGGCATTGTCTTCGCTCAAAATCGGCTCAAGCACAGCCAGATCTACTGTATTCTACCCAACTGTATCAATGTTAGCGGCACCATCAACACATTTTGTTTTGATAAGGTAAAATATTACAAATTTATTCTCTCCATGGATTGCTATAATGTTCATCCCTTCTATCTCGTGCGTTTATCAATTTTGCTGTGTGAATGAACATTATATGGCAAGATGTCTCTAAATTTTCCAATTGCATCATAACATGTTATACATAGAGCGTTCTCATGTCTGACATTTGACATCAGTTTTCATCCAGATCATGAGTTTTTTCTCAAGTACAATTTACTCAATTTTACGAGAATAGAACAATTTTGAGTTTAGCTGGGTTAAATTTGACTCAACTGAGTTTGTTTTGAAATACATTTCACTCTGCCGTGTTTGAGATTCGGATGGATGTTTTTTTTAATTAGAAGGTAAGGTGTTTTTTTTGCTAAGCTAATTTTAAGTTTGGAGGGGTATTTGACTCGACTGAGTTAAAGTTGGTAATGTTTTACTCTATCATGTTTGAGTTAAGGATATTTCACTCTCCTGAGTTTGATTTTAGAAGGGAGTTAGACTTGTTTAGGTTAGGAGGGATATTTGATTTGGCGGAGTTTGAGTTTGAAAAATACATGTATGTGAACATCGGACATTTGCAAGTAAACCTGTTTTGAATCATTTTCAAAAAATATTTTCAGTGTATCAATATTTCTCCCTTTAGACTGGTACTCTAACTGAAGATGGAATGAACATGCAGGGCCTACACCTGGTTAAAGATGGCAGGTACTGTCCATATTTACTTTCTTAAGTGCAAAACACTTTTTCAGGTTGAAAGGGGTCCTTTAAATGGACCTGAAACGTACCCAGATAAACCCATGTACTGAGAAATAACCATAACAATTTTTACAGTATAATATAAATTTTAAGGGGTCAGGGTGGCTGAGTGGGTAATTAAGGTGTCCGACTGTCAAGGATCACTAGCCCTCCACCACTGGTTCATGGGGTCGAGGCCCACGTCAGTCAGTCGCCCAGTGTTGGCCGCAGGTCAATGGGTTCCCCTCCCTAAGTACTTCGGCTTTTCTCCACAACCAAAACCTGGCCCGTCCTTAAATGACCATAGCTGTTAAGAGGACATGAAGCACAAACAAAACATTCCAAAAATCAGATGAAATCTGTAAACAATATGCATCTTGTCATGTTTTTTATGCCCCTACCACAAAATTAGGGGGGGGTGGGGAGCATATAGTGTTACACATGTCCGTCCCGTCCCGTCCCGTCCCGTGATCAAAGAAGTTGTAACAATTTATAGAACACCAAACACTGAAACTAATTTCACATGGTGACATGGGGCTGCTAGTGATTCATGTCTTACAGACATTTTCTAGTTTCACATAGTAAAGAATATTAAAGTGTCTCTTTTGAACAGTTTTACAGACGAAGTCGAAGACAAGTCCATAGCAATGTTAGAACCAGAAATGCCAGTAATGGCTGCCATGGCCTCGTGTCACTCGCTCACCATCATCGACAATGAGTTGTGTGGTGACCCACTCGACCTCATCATGTTTCAGGCCACTGGATGGGTGAGTAGCATCACAGTCAGCTATAAATACAATCAAATGGGACATTAAATCATTCACCCCTAAAAACACATTTGAACTCTTTCGATTCAAAGGTTTGAACAGTTCATTATGAAATTTCAGGAGTGGATGAGTTAAGGATGCATGCTACCTTAATAAATGTGATCTTTACCTTCTTTCAAAAGAGTTCCATTGAAAGAAACCTTTAAAAATGTCTTAAATCTTTGAATCCTTAAAATATGTTTTTGAGTTTAGAGGGCTATTTGATCAAATTTGGAGGGGTATTATTTCGTAAAGTTTGGAAATGTATTTGTCACCATAGCTACTTTCAATATTCAAGTTGACATTTGTCTTTAATCTTTACTTTTGTTCAATGTCATTTTTATGTTGCATTTGCTTTTGTCAACCAGTTGTTGGCCCTAATGACCTCTCCTGGGTTGATGGGCCTTTAAGCATGTGATGATAATAATAAGGATTTGTTTGAGTTCAGTGTTGTTGTTGATACATACTTTATAGGATCTAGAGGAGCCAGGACAGGAGCACAGCCGTTTTGACATGATGGTCCCTACTGTAGTGAAGCCACACCAGCTGAAAGGCCAGTTGTGGAACAAACAAGAGGTACTTGTCATCATAAATAGAGCACACAACAACAAGATGTCATCACAAACTGTTTTCAGTTCATTTTATCTCGAAATTTTTCAACCACATGTTGGATCATTTGAAATGAAATAGTGAAAATCTATTTGTGGAAAAATGAAAAATATGAAGAAATATTTTGTTTTATTATGGTATATATATATATTATGTTACCTTACATATTATACCTGTGATTCGTGTTTAGTTAGGGGTACATGTTACCTTACACTTTATACAACATGTACTTGTGAATTCTGTTGAGAGTTACTTCCCTTGAACACTTTTAGTAATACCATTATTTGATAATAAGAGCAACCTCATGATCAGATTCATCAATACATGTATTCTTATACAAGTGTATAGGGTAACCGTTTCAATAATGTAAATTCACTTATTTCAGAGATATTAAATTATCTTTTAATGCATTTTGCTCCAAATTCAAAAATGGACAATTATGTTGCAGGCAACTGATACAGAGGTGGGCATCCTTAGACAGTTCACATTCGAGTCCAGTCTACAACGAATGTCTGTCATCACACGACGCATCACCTCAAGTCACTTTGACCTCTTTTCCAAGGGGGCACCGGAGATGATTGCCTCTCTGTGTAGACCTGAAACAGGTATGGACAGGTAGAAAGTGACCACTTAAAATATTGTATAGCAGGATGTTTCTGTGGGAATTATAATTTCGCGATTTTGTCGGTCAGTAATGAGATCGCAAAAATATGATCTTGTTTCAAGCGTAAAAATGATCTGACCATACTGTTATCATGAAATAGCAAGTATGTGGTTGTAACGATTAATTTACACCGAGACGTTTGAAAAAAGATAACATAACAAGAGAATAGTTCTGTTAATGATTTGTTTAACAAAATATACTTGTTTTGCTCAGTATGCTGTTATAAAGCATATTTATTTGACTATTTGACACTTTTATGTCAAATGTACTATCTTTGTTTAAAACACAGCAAAAATTTGGTTCCGTCATGCATCTAGATTGTGAAATTTTAATATTGACAAAAAAATTGTAATTTCTTGCAAGGAAGCATGTTTTAATAGTTTATACTGTTCAGGAACAATGAAAACGAAATCTTCTAAAAAGGTTTACTAATTGTCTAAAAAAAAAAAAAAAAAAATTTGAAAAAACATCTTTTCCATATTTCTGCTGAATTGATTTTAACTCACTTTTAGAAAACTAAGATTTATTGAATATATTTTCAGTTCCGTCAAACTTCCACGAGGTACTAATGGGATACACACAGCATGGTTACAGAGTACTGGCACTGGCGTGGAGACCACTGCCCGAGAACCTCAAGTACACCAAAATACACAGACTACAAAGGTATAAACAGAGAGACCTGTATTCAAACTCCAACAAAATCAAATACTTCTTTTGATTGCCATCTCACTTACCTGCAACATAGCTGGGGTCCAATTTCATTTTAATGCCCCCACAATTTTATTTGGGAGGCTGGTGGTGGTGGGGGGGAGCTACAGTGTTACCCATTGTGCTATTGTGTCCCACGTCCCACTTCATTTTGATTCATAGTCATGACTCTACCGACTATCTATTACTGTATACCTGGAAGTTTTCGCTTTTTAAAATAATTAACCTTCATTGGTATTGCCATATACGCCAAATGTAAATTTTGCCCTTCACCAATATTTTATATATATGGTACGCTGTGTACTAATATTCACTGTCATGATAAATTAACCTTCATTGCGGAAGGTGGAAAAGGCAATGTTAAACTGTGGCAATAAGTTCCCTGTATACAGTATTCTGTCTTTGCGTATTGCAGAGTTATCTTCTCTTGAGAGCAGGTATTGATTGTTACGGCATTGGTTCGTGTGAGCAAATTACGTCGTTTTCTGAAAAATTGATGACGTTACTCCCACAAACAAATGACGAAGTACTCAATACCTGCTCTCAAGAGAAGATAACTCTGCAATACGCAAAGTACCGAATAGCCACAGGGCCAAATGTGCATTCATGTCCTACAGACATTTTCTGGTTTTTGAGCAATTCCTTACAATAATGAATAATTCTGTAAAGCTCTGTATAAAATTCACAAATTATAAAAGAGTTTTACATTTGAAAAATGGAGAAAGAGAAAAGGGAAAAATTGTTTAAAGCAAATAAATCTTTGCTATAGATTTACCATGCACATTGTTGAACTTAACAAAACGTCAGAGCAGAAAAGGCTTAAAAATAGACATAAACTTGTATAATACAATGGTTATATATTTGCTAGTGATTAATAGATATTGGATTGGTTTATGTTTTGTTTTTAGGGAACAGGTGGAGAAAAACTTGACATTCCTCGGTCTGCTGGTGATGGAAAATCGCCTCAAACCAGAATCGACACCAGTCATACAGGAGCTGATTGAGGCAAACATCCGAACAGTCATGGTCACAGGTTCGTATACCGTATAGCGGGATATTTCCGCGGGGATGATATTTCTGGGACTTCACAGGTCACTAACATGATTGCAAAAAATAAACTTCATTAGGTGGTCTGGTGGTGCAGTGGATAGTGTGCTCACCTTTCACCAAGGCAGCTGGGGTTTGATTCCTCAACCTGCCCCAGCACATGGGTTTTCTCCCGGTACTCCAGTTTCCCTCACGTTAAGACCCTTTGCGTAACATCCAGGCAAACAAGAGTGATTAATATAAGTTAGAATAACTTGTTTTACAATTGTTGTAAAATAAATGTAAGTTTATTTTTGAATTTCATAACCATAATGTCGTCATGAAATAGGGAGCATGTGGATGCAACGATTCATTTACATCATGTAAATACTATAATCCTTTCGTTGAAATTTGATATGGTTATACACTAGGGCGGTCACAATATATTGGAAAAAAGGTATATCGCAATACAAGAGTATATGGTATTGTACCACAATACAGAGATGAAATATTGCTGTATCGCAATATTTTTCAAAAGCATATTTTTATGTATCTGCTTGGTGCTTTATATATGATCTTCATCTATAAATTCTGTTACGAGGGTGGGCTTATCGCTGAACACCAGATTATTTTATATAGCTGTAATATTGTGTATTAAAACATTTGTTGACTTCTATCAGGTGACAACATGTTGACTGCCCTATCTGTAGCCAGAGAGTGTAAGATGGTTGGTTCTCATGAAAAGGTCATCCTGGTGCAGGCGTACCCGCCACAGGAAAAAGCTGACGCATGCTTGGAATTCGTCAATGCGGATAACACAAACATTAAGGTCAAGGAAGTCGTCAAGTCTGTCAGTGGGGTAAGTTTAAAGACAGTGTGGGCTACGCCATTATGGGGTATGAGGTTGTCATGTCTCTCAGTGGAATAAGGTCAATAAAGTCATGATTTCATTCACTGGGATAAGGTCATTAGGGTTAATGGGATAGGGTCAAAGAGGTCATCAAAGTTTAGTCTTTCACTGGGATAAGATTATAGAGGTCTTAAGGTCAAAAGGAAGTTATGACATTATGTGACCGGTTCACTGTTAGACCAATTTACTTAAATATAGCAATATTGAATTGGCAATTTACTAGTTCAAGGTCAGATGAAGTATATGGATATAAGGATCGAACAGTTGATATTACAAGGTCAAGGTCAGAAAAATTAATACAATAATGTCAAGGTTAGAACAATTAATAAAATAAGGTAAATACCAGAATAGTTTATTTCATAAGGTTAAGGTCAGGACAGTGCTTATTACAGGGTCAAGGTCAGGACAGTAGTTATAACAGGGTCAAGGTCAGGACAGTAGTTATAATAGGCTCAAGGTCAGGACAGTGCTTATAACAGGCTCAAGGTCATGACAGTGTTTATAACAGGTCAATGTGAGGACAATAGTTATAACAGACTCAAGGTCAGGACAGTAGTTATAACATGGTCAAGGTCAGGACAGTGCTTATAACAGGGTCAAGGTCAGGACAGTGCTTATAACAGGTTCAAGGTCAGGACAGTAGTTATAACTGGCTCAAGGTCAGGACAGTGCTTATAACAGGCTCAAGGTCATGACAGTGCTTATAACAGTTCAATGTGAGGACAGTAGTTATAACAGACTCAAGGTCAGGATAGTAGTTATAACATGGTCAAGGTCATGACAGTGCTTATAACAGGGTCAATGTGAGGACAGTAGATATAACAGGGTCAAGGTGAGGACACTAGTTATAACAGGGTTAAGGTTAGGACACTAGTTATAACAGGGTTAAGGTTAGGAGGCTGTTATATGAAGTTGAAGATTAGGACAGTTGACCATACCTTTATGATTTAACAATTTGCAACAAAATGTGTTTTAAATTGATCTTCACTTTTCAGTCTGAAACGAAGATAAGTATGCCAGGATTACAATACTACCATTTTGCTGTGGAAGGAAAATCATGGGGAGTTATCAGACAGTACTTTCCAGATGTCTTCCCTAAGGTAAGTGGACCTGACAAATAGTTCTTATAGGCCAAGGTTGGTTGAGTAAAGACTTATGTTGTTAGGGGGGTAGGTTGGCACAGTCTATCATTACCTTTCACCAAGGTGACCGGGGTTCAATTCCTCAATCGGGTGGTGCAGTAAATTACACTGAGTCTCGCCTATCACCAAGGCGGTCGGTGGTTGGTTCCTTGATCAGGTGGCGCAGTGTTTTACACTCGCCTTTCACCAAGACAGTCTGGGGTTTTCTCCCAAATTCCCCGATTAGACGTAAAAATGTATGGGGTCACCTGCCCGACCAGGTGGGTTTTTCCCTAGGTATTCCAGTTCCCCTCCATGTTCAGACTCCCTGCACACTGACATCTGGGCCAAGTAGAGTGATTAATATGTGATAGACCTTGTTTCACAATTGTTGTAAAATAATAGCATTTCTCTCAATATGATTTATGGGACTTTTCCAGACATCTTCTGTTAGGTACATGGAAAAAAAAATACTTCACAGATATCTTTCTTTAGGTTAGTGCATTATACAACAACAAAAAAGAGAAAATTAATAAACTGTAATAAATGCACTTCAATAATTGATATTTTAGGAACACTTCATAGAAATGGTTTTAACAATAACAACAAACCAAAATATTTTGTAAAATTTGATACAAACATAATCTTCATTTTCCTGCTTATGTATATTTCATTGAAATAATTGTATTTGAGATGCATTTTATTGCTCTATGTAATATTCATCATTGCCATCGTTAGTGAATTACTGTATTTTGTATAGGTTGGTTACTTGTTATATGGGGTAGAAATAATTCACTACATCAATGCTAGTAGTCAAAAAAAGGTCCCAGACACTGACAAGGGTTTCGTCCCTGCAGGTAGGGCGTAAGAATTGTACCTGCTGCCCCCAATTGCATGATCGTAAGAGGCGACTAAATTTGGGACCTTATCTCTTCTCTCCTTTCTAAATAACTTTCTTCTTCCTAATGTCTCCCTTGACAATGCCTCACTTTTGGCCATTTGTTGAGCGTTCGCCCCTGTGAGGAAGGCTTTGGGTTCTGTCCCCTGGCCGAGACATACCAAAGTCTTTAAAAATGGTAGTTTCTACTCCTGCTTAACGCTCAGCAAATTAGGAGTGGGACGACTGGTTCGCCCGTTGTCAGTATAATGTGACCGGGTGGGGCGTCCTGCTGGGTGTCTTCGGCAGTATGTTTCAGTGAGGTAGCACTATAAAGTCGGCATCAGTTCCGCGCTATCACAAGGAGACAAACACGAACATATCGCAGCCTCCCAAAATACACACACATACACTACACGCATGCATCTTGCACACAGGGGAGGCCGTCCTTAAATGACCTTAGCTGTTAATAGGACGTTAAACAAAGTCAAACAAACAAACAAACAGACAAGGGTTTCTGAGAAAGGAAGAGGAGCTAATATGAAGATAAAGCTAATTACAATAAATCCATTCATAATAATGAGGACTTACTATTTTACCGACAGTTGGTGGTGCGTGGAACAGTATTCGCGAGAATGTCACCAGAACAGAAAGCACAGCTTGTAGAGGCTCTCCAGGAACTTGGGTAATATTTTATCACTGTATAGCGGGTTGAACAGGTGATGTGCAGCATTAAATGAAGTGAATAGAAAGTACCCTTCTGATTGGTCAATACAAAAAATCATATTCTCTTATTGAAACAAATATCACTTTTGATATCTGTCACAGTGTGAAAAAAATAGTTTTATTTAGTTGATAGAATTTGATATCTCCCAGTGCTACTATAGGTTTCCTCCAGGAGTTGGTAGACCTTTTAGGTAACCCGCTAGTAGGCAACAACCGAGATGTCATTTCATAAGTTAATCTTGTAATTATGACGTCAAGTAATAATGCTTTGCGACAACATCTTCTATCGCAAACAGGAATAATGTATTCCCAAAAGAATAATACCGTTTTGTAGATATAATATTTTAACGTTGTGGGGGAGAAAGGGTCCAGAAACCTGTGATGGTTGATTATCATATTTATTGAAATCTCGTAAGTTAATTTTCAAATTGTGAAAGACACTTGAATTGGTAAACCTTTGTATTTATACCTTTTGAAATAACTAACTGGAGTTAGATAAACATGATACATCTATATCTTTCTGACATAAATGTATTAAATATGTAATATTTTATACTGTTGCAGGTTTCTTATAGATGTTATTCCATAGTTTGTACTTTTAATAACATCAGAGCACACCCAATTCTTCAACTCAACTCTTTAACTGCAACATCGTTCTCAATCATTTATAACCATCATTAAATCTCTGACTAAAATGTTGTATTAAATAACCTCTGACCTCTTTGTCTTAACCTCTGACCTCTTTGTCTTAACCTCTGACCTTTGGCGTCTGTGGCCTGACCTGTGATTTGTGTTACCAGGTACTACGTTGGGATGTGTGGCGACGGAGCCAATGACTGTGGGGCCCTGAAGACGGCACACGCCGGCATTTCTTTGTCGGAGGCAGAGGCGTCGGTCGCATCACCATTCACGTCCAAAAATCCCAACATTGTTTGTGTTCCTACCCTTATCAGGTCAGTTCTAAATTTGAAAAAAAATAATCTTTGAAACTTTTGATACAATTGCTGTTTCAGTTTTCTTTGATGTTGAATACTTCATTAATGAATCTATTTAACTTATTCACCCCTGAAATTTCATAATGAACTATTCCAACCTTTGTATTGGAAGAGCTCAAATGAGTCTTCAGAGGAGAATGAGTTAAGATACTGGTAAATAAGAAATTGAAACAAATATGAAAAAATGTAGGGATGGAAATCATATTTCCAAACTATTTCAGTCTGTTCTAAGAGATATCTTCAATGTCTGTTCACATTTATTCACAGTAAGGAAGTATAGTATTATTGTCTCCACAGGCAAGGAAGAGGAGCCTTGGTGACCTCCATTGGAATTTTTAAGTTCATGGCAGCCTACAGTCTCACACAGTTTGTGTCCGTCTGCTTACTGTACTGGGTAAGTTCAAAACCACAACTTTACATTAGTCTCACTGCATGGTGTAATTGGCAAGGTCAAGGCCAAGGCCATGTTGCATAATGTCATGGGTAAAGATATGGTCATACTGCATAGTGTAATGGGTAAGGTCAAGGTCATACTACATGATGTTATGGGTAAAGTCAAGGTCATACTGCATGGTGTAATGGGTAAGGTCAAGGTCAAACTGCATGGTGTAAGTGGCAAGGTCAAGGTCATAATGCATGGTGTACGTGGTAAGGTCAAGGTCATACTGCATGATGTCCTGGGTAAAGTCAAGGTCATACTGCATGATGCCATGTGTAAGGTCAATGTCATACTTCATGGTGTAATGGGTAAGGTCAATGTCATACTGCATGATGTCATGGGTAAGGTCAAGGTCATACTGCATGCTGTACTGGGTAAGGTCAAGGTCAAGACCTTGATTTCTTACTGCATGCTGTACAGGGCAAGATCAAGGTCACAACAGCAGTCTTAGTGTAGGCTTTAATGAGCAAGGTCAAGGTCATACTGCACTTGGATGTCTTGCTGCATGCTGTTCTTGATCAGGTCAAGGTCACAGCCATTGTGTCTTTCTGCGTGTCTTGCATGCTGATATTTAACATGGGGGTTCATTGGGAGTCTTGTTTGCTGATATTTAACATTGGGGTTCATTGGGAGTCTTGCATGCTGATATTTAACATGGGGGTGTGAAGCCAATCTAATAAAAAAAAAAATGTTTAAAGTTTTTACTTTCACACATCATAGAATAGATATAATTATTTTCCTTTCATTGCATTTATAATTGTTCAATAATTTTTCATGATTTATTTTTACATTTTCACAGATAGGCAACAACTTGACTGACTTCCAGTTCCTCTACATAGATTTGTTTCTGTTGACAACACTGAGTATGACATGTGAGTCGTGTAGAACTTTTTTTCTAATAAATAAGTCCAGATTTCACTGCTGACTGTCAATCTTGTGGCCTAAAGGAAATAACATTCTGGTGTAAGATGAATAGGAAACAAATGTTTTTAACTTATTTATAACAATTGTAAGAGAATGTTAACTCTGTCAAAATATCATTTGATTAATCAAGATAAACTTTCTAAAATTGCAAAAGAATGTACTTAGTCTTGTGTCTCCTGTATAGCTGTATTTTCCAGTAGTGTTGTGCTCTCTCTAGATCTGTCAGTTCAGGTGTTAAGCTTCCTACATTTTGTATTACATTTGAACCTGTAGAACCTCTGGCCTGTGTTACAGGTGATTTGGCCCCTCCTCTCTTTCAAATATGTAATCGATTCTTGTGTACCTTTCAAATATGTCATCAATTCTTGTGTACCTTTCAACTATGTCGTCAATTAATATGTACCTTTCAATGAGTCATCAATTCTTGTTTACCTTTCAAATGTGTCATTAATTCATATTTATCTTTTAAATCAGTCATCAATTCTTTTGTACATGTACTTATCAAAACTATAATATAAAAAATTGATGAATTCCACATGCAAGCTTAGTTAAATTCTCAAATAAAACTTGCCATGTCAAACTGCATGTTTTTGCAGTTGGTCGTACCGAGGCTTACCACAAGCTGTCGCCTCAACCTCCACTAATCAACCTGTTCGGAATTGCCCCAGTCCTGTCACTCATCCTCCATACATGTATTGTGGTCGGCTTCCAGGTTTTCTGCTACCTACATGTAATGCAACAAGATTGGTATGTGGTAATAGGAATCCCTTGTAATCTGGGATACCAACTTCAGCATTTTAGTTGTCATATACGGATTGAGCTGCATTTTTAAGCTGCTCTTGGCGAGAGCCGAGCGGCTTATTAATTCTGTCCAGAAAACGAAATGACGGACCCACTTACGTTACGGATGCGTGCGCATAATTCAGTCTTGCATGCTTCCGCTATATAGTTTCGTTATCGTAAATAGAAAGTAGAATCTCTGACACTCACCTGTGGGTTACATAAAGTCTTCTGATACTCTTCTCCAAGTAATAATCTATACTTTTAATAATTGCTGAAAACAAAATGTTTATCTCCGGTGCATTCTACGAGTGTTGTGGTGGTGAAATTCGTGCACTACGTTTGAGCGTTTTAGCAACTCGGATTGAGGTCTGAAGAGTGTTACGTGTGTGAAACACATATGATTCGAGAAAGCACATGTGAAGACTGTCAAGCATCGATGCTGTCTGTAGAAGGAAGAAGTAAATATATGTATTTATAAACCGTATTAGTGATGAAGTATAACCTCTATTTTGATGTTTCAAACGGGAACGTAATATGACATATCGTGCTTAGGTTGTTAACGGTAATGCTTAATGGCTCTGAGACGAGACGATATGTAAACTGTGTATGCTTATCAAACATTTCTGTAACACAGCATGCTATTTCTGGTGTATTTATTTATGAAAGTGTAACAATTTAAGAACATGACACAACTGCCGCTGCTGTTTGACAAGAATTCGCGCTGTGTCAAAATATTATCCAATCCGGTGTAAGGGAAATAACTCTTACGTTAGTAATTAATATAAAGTCGCATTGAGAAATATAATTCAAATATATTCCAAGAACATTTTTGAGATTTTGTATATTCAATGACAGTAAATAAAGTCACTACATATATTAATAATTATTATTCATATGAATAAATAATAAATAAAAATAAAAGGAGTACAATGTCTCTTTTCTCCATGTATTTTTCCCCCATTCTGTTAATTCTTCATTTCACAATCACAAAATGCACCTATTCTTTATTATCCATTCACCGATTGGCATTCTGCACATAAATGCTCATGTCACATCATTGGAGGATGCTAGTTAATGAAAATTACAACAATGCGTCACACTGAAAGAGGGTGAAAAAAGAGGAGAGGGAGAAATGTTTTTAAGGCATCATTTAAGAGGTGATTGATTTTGGAAATCCCAAAGGCATCATCATCACATGACCTGATTTTCAATAAGCAGAATACAGAACACATATCTGAGGTATTATAGAAGATATTGATGCTCAACGTCTTACTGAAGCAATTCAATTTAAAGTGGTGAGCGGCTTAAATGTCAGACTGACATAATTCTAGTTTCAATTTCATACTGGCATGAACATTAAAAAATGCCTCTTTCTTAACATTTTCTTCAGGTTGGTAATTACGTATAGATTATGATAAGTTCTTTTTCGATGACTAGTACGATATGTACACTCGATATGTAGAAAATAGAAAAATTTATTGTTTGTGTAAAAAGAACTTTTCATAATTCAAAAATGCTGTTCAATTCTTATGTTTACATTCTAAATTTTAAGTTATTGTTTACCTAAACATTCAGCCTAAAGTCATCAAAATGTTTGCCTCTAATAATCGTCTCATGTTATTCAAGGCAAGAGGAGAAGCTTCCAAATGACCCTGATCCAATTGTGTTCATAGCCCTTATGAACGAAATTTCTTATGATAATACTCGGAGAGAAGCAGACTGCTAATACTGTACCGTGTGTTGTATATAAACTGTGCATTGTCACTCTGAGTATTTTAATCTTTGTGAAAAGTGTTCATTTGACAAATACAATAACAAAAGTATTTGATGAGGCAAGTCAACCTAGAATACCTAAACTCGATCTTCATTACTTGGTAGGATTTAATTTAGCATCTTGATCACTCGTACTCTTATTTAGTACTGGTTTAATTCAGCCACTGAGTCACTTCAACTTTTATGTAATATGGCAGGATTCACTTCAGCGTCTAGGTCCTCTGAACTCTTAATTATCAGGATACGATGATCATTTATTTAGCCCATGGTCCAGAGAAAAATATATTTTTTTATCAAAATTAATGTACAATGTACCTGTTATACACTGTAAACCTGCTTTGAAAATATTTGAATACAGCAAAATGTTATATTCTAACTACGTGGCAATGACCTACGTCTGGTTCAGTTTCAAAAATTATTTCAGAAAATTACAAATACATAAGCGGAAATATTTTCCTAATTGGAGCTTGGGCATAATTTAGGGCTTTGTGGATCCTTTGTTCTACTGCCAAAAACTTGATACTTGTGTATTCAAAACTTTTTTTCCGGCAAAGTCTAGTATTTTAAGTCATCTTATAGAAAATATTACCTTGTGGAACTTTTATGAAAAGCAATAAAGATGAAATAAACAAAATAGGATCAACAACATAGGATTTTCAAGTGTAAATGTATATATTGGATCCAGACCAGAATTTGCACCCTGGACCTCCAATTATTATACTTTTGATCGAACAAGCTGAGCTATGTGGCCAAAAGTTGAGCTACAGTAATATGTTTATCAAAAACTAAATTAAGGGGAGATAACTGTATATAAAAATAATTTCAGTGAAATTTTCCAGTAATATACCTGCAGTGGGACGGGGATGCAAATTTTGTCAATAGTGTTAACCCTTTCACCCCTAGGTAACTTTAGTAGACTCTACCATACATTGATCTGGACGAGTCCATTATGGTCTATAGTGGTTAAAGGGTTAAGGTTATGGTGTGTACCATGCTATTTTAACTACTTTTAATTTCATTCAGGTTCGTAGACTATGTTGAGAACGAGGATTATGACTACATGAGCTACGAGAATATGGCCGTCTACATCATCTCAAATTACCAGTACATCATTCTGGGTGTTGTCTTCTCGAAGGGGGCACCTTACAGAAAACATATGTTTACCAACTGTAAGTAAAAACTGTGTCAACTGTAGATCTGTAAGGACAATGAGAAAAATAAATTTAGAACTAAGTACGTTGAAGCCTTTTATAGGAAAACTATATGTACTTACTGTAAGTATGTTGGGGCCTATCGAAGGAAAAATAAATTTACTAACTGTAAGTTCTTTAGGGCCTCTTAAGGGAAAGTTATATTTACTTAATGTTAGTACATTGAGGCCTCTTTAAAGGAAAAATAAATTTACTTACTGTAAGTATTGACTAAGTAATGTTTCATAATTGTTGTAAAATGGAGAAAAAAGATGGAAAAAAAATGCAATTAATATCAATACCTAGACTACACAGCTTTATAACATAATTTGAGTTTTGAACAGATGGAAGGACCTTGTCTTATTCTGTCCTCTGAACTCTTTTGGAATGGAGGTACATATCACAGCATATGTCCTTAAGGAGAAATATCATCGTCTTTATTTTTTTTGCTTATAGATTGGTTCATGGCCAACCTAGCCCTGTGTGTAGGAATCTCTCTCTGGATAAATATCTACCCGACCAATGGACTGGCAGACTTTCTAGAGGTGAGCCCTAGCCTAACGTACAGAAATACATATTACACAGCAATGCAATATTACTGTAAAAGTGGCCATCTTTACGGTGTGAAAATGTGCGTTTATCACGTCAAGGAAAAAGGTGTAAAAATTATCCACACACAAATATATATGTGTATAGATTATAAAGATTTCAAAATCTTTGCCAATGTGAAAATTTCTGCATAGCATTCAGTTAAAAGAGTTGCAATGCAACCATTTCAAAAAAGCAAAATGTTCACATCTGTAACATGCATGTAATTGATTAAATTTACAAATTTTAATTCTGTTCAAAGTCTGATTAGATTAATGTGTTGATAATGCTAATTTAAAAAAAAAAAAAAAAAAAAAATTGTGGAAATGAAAATTTGAAGAAATGATCAAATTTTTATCTTGATAAAATGGCTTTCATTTAATAGGTGTTTACCTCATGCAGGAGAAAATCCAGTAAAGAAATTAAAAATGAATAGAGAGCAAAGAAAAGTTATTGTAAGGAAGATAATTGATGGTAGTTTGGTTGTCATCATTGTACTGTGGTCACATTTTGATACGTATCATGATACAAATATATATAAAATATCAGTAGAAGCAATGTAGTAGAAAAAATAGACTTGTTGCAAATGTTAATAGTAATTTGACAACTGGAAATAGTCTTGGTCCGAAATGGGAATGACTTTTCAATTTCACACAATTCAAATCTTTCATTAGCTTAACTGGAGCTGTCACTTGCCGTGTTGGATATGAGTAGACTTAATTCAGAAAAGAGGAAATATGGAAAATATCATTGGTGTATCGTGAGCTTCCAAAATATATTGTGTATAAATGTACTGTATTCAAAATATCGTGATATATCAATGCAGCCCTAATGACAACCTGAAGCGAGAAACAGCAGTTCTTGTTTCTCGTAACCTGCAGGGCACAGAGAATAAGTTTGTATTTAGCTTTGAAGGAAAAAGAAAATAAATGATCAAGCTAAAAATGATAATTTTAGTAATACATGTAAAGAAATTGAAGGTTCCATACAGAGTATTGAACTCTGTTCTATCATTATCCTCAGCTTAACGAAATTAGCGGGGGTAATATACAAATGTGGTCCGGCCAGCCGTGCATCCAGTTCAGAAGAATTGGTCTCATGCATGAATACCTTAATTACTTGAACTGCTACACCTTCAACACTTTCATGATTGATGCATCTGGATCGAGTGCCTCTAATGATTGCATGTTGCCGATGCTGAATTTGACCTACATTTCCCGCTTCACTGATCACTTGGTTAAGAAAAATTGGTCTCGTCCATGAATACCTTACTACAACTGCTACCCCTTTGATACTTTCACGATTGATGCATCTTAAGTGGCTCTACTGATCTGCATGTTGTGGATGCTGTCATTAACCTACATTTCACGCTTCAGTGACTTGATAACCAACAATTAGTGGGTTTTTTATTGACTGGTACACTTATGAGCGTGACGTATCGATGAAGGCCTCTTCTTATTTTCATTTGTGATAATTTTCCTTTTCTTAATTGTTATAATTGATACATTGTAATTTCTTCTTCAGTTAAAATCTGCGCCAAATATACCCTACAGACTTGTGTACATCGGGATTGCAGCAGCAAATTTCTTATTATCTCTACTGTTGGAGGTAGGTCAAATGTTACTGGGACCAGAACAGATTTTTCACAAACAGTTTACAGTATATTTACTTTCTTTATTAACCATTTCACCCCTACGTAACTTTAGTAGACTCTACCATGCGTTGATCTGGATGAGTCCATTATGGTCTACAGCGGTTGAAAGGGTTAAAGACAAAAGGAATTGATTGGTATTTGCTGAAGAGATGTTGTAAAGAATTGAAAAAATTAACTCTACATCGGTTGTCTGAGAGGTAACAGTATTTCATATACTAAAGAATCCTTTGACGACAGAAGGACTCGTTTAAGATGGGCACCAGGAATATATGTACAAAATGGTACAAAATTGTTTTCTTACAGCAAATATATTTATGCTAGTGAAATTTTGTAGTCATTTGTGATTCTGATTGCCTTTCGTCTGTTGTCATGGTACATCTGTCATCTGTAAGTAAACGATGTTTCAAGTTTAATGAAAGTGGGTGTCATTAAAATCCTCTGGTTTAGTTCAGAATCTGTTTGGAAAGAAGGGGCTTACCCTCGGAGGGCTCGGGGGCAGGGTTTAAATAAGGGTTCCCAAAGTGCACATCAACCTTCAAAAGACCTCATTGAAATTTACTGGTGGATTTTTTCCAACATTCCTTACTTTCATCCTCGGATGTTGAGGAAATAGTATTTATACTCAAGAAAGGGCAGAATACTTGGGGGACTGAGGGTATGGGATCATATGGGTTTCCAAAGGGCAAGGCCTTCAAAAGACATCACTGAAATTTACTGGTGGATTTTTGCCAACATTCATTAATTTCATCCTCGGATGTTGAGGATATAGTATTTATACTCAAGAAAGGGGGTCATTAGGGTTCCCAAAGTGCAAAACCTTCAGGAGATGGGGATCAGAGTTTATAAGAAAAAACGGGCTATTCCAACCCCTAAAGGGCCTCAAAGGGGTGACAGCGGGCTACTTAAATCCCTAGAGGGCCTCAAAGGGGCGACAACGGGCTACTCCAACCCCTAGAGGGCCTCAAATGGGCGACAACGGGCTACTCCAACCCCTAGAGGGCCTCAAAGGGGCGACAGCGGGCTACTCCAACCCTGAGAGGGCCTCAAAGGGGCGACAGCGCGCTACTCCAACCCTAGAGGGCCTCAAAGGGGCGACAGCGGGCTACTCCCAACCCTAGAGGGCCTCAAAGGGGCGACAGCGGGCTACTCCAACCCCTAGAGGGCCTCAAAGGGGCGACAGCGGGCTACTCCAACCCCTAGAGGGCCTCAAAGGGGCGACAACGGGCTACTCCAACCCCTAGAGGGCCTCAAAGGGGCGACAGCGGGCTACTCCAACCCCTAGAGGGCCTCAAAGGGGCGACAGCGGGCTACTCCAACCCCTAGAGGGCCTCAAAGGGGCGACAGCGGGCTACTCCAACCCCTAGAGGGCCTCAAAGGGGCGACAGCGGGCTACTCCAACCCCTAGAGGGCCTCAAAGGGGCGACAGCGGGCTACTCCAACCCCTAGAGGGCCTCAAAGGGGCGACAGCGGGCTACTCCAACCCCTAGAGGGCCTCAAAGGGGCGACAGCGGGCTACTCCAACCCCGAGAGGGCCTCAAAGGGGCGACAGCGCGCTACTCCAACCCCGAGAGGGCCTCAAAGGGGCGACAGCCGGCTACTCCAACACCTAGAGGGCCCCAAATGGGTGACAACAGGCTACTCCAACCCCTAGAGGGCCTCAAATAGATGACAACAGGCTACTCCAACCCCTAGAGGGCCTCAAAGGGCTACTCCAACCCCTAGAGGGCCTCAAATGGGTGACAACAGGCTACTCCAACCCCTAGAGGGCCTCAAATAGATGACAACGGGCTACTCCAACTCCTAGAGGGCCTCAAAGGGGTGACAGCGGGCTACTCCAACCCCTAGAGGGCCTCACAGGGGTGACACTTAGTGTAAAACTCCATATGACATCTCCTTTGCAAGTAAATGGTGGAATTAGATAAATCTTTCATCAGTTCATTCTTTGTTCACTTACAATGCCCTCCGTAAGGGCCATTGAATTGAAATTTCAAATTTTCTCAGCTTGTTTCAATTGTCAATTATGCATGTTTCTTTTTTCTGCCAACTTCAGGTCTAGTGACCATGGCATAGTGTGCTATGGTAAAGGACGGTTTGGTTTTCTTTAAATTTTGCAAATTGTATTTTCCTTAAATATGGAACCTTTCAAAGAAAAAGAAAACAAAACAATGTTCACAGTTTCACTTTGTCCAGAAGATTTTTTATAGCTGGTCCATAAGTTACTTGTTAGAATAGGTTTGACTGCAGACGGACCTTATTTGTAACTGTTATATTTTCAGACATTCATCATAGACAGCTACTTTGTGACCTGGAAGCTGCAGGAGTCGGTCGAAAAGTGCTGTAAGAGCTCGACCTTTCATTACAATGTCCTCGAGGACGAAATCAAAGACACACCACATTGGCCTCCAATCAGCCACTCGTCGAGTCTAGCACAGGTGTTTGGCCGCATGGACAGTGTCCCGACTACATTAAATGAGGCTGACCAGGCCAGCCTGTCTGGGAGTCTGCTGGACTCGGACCAAGGGGAGACCACTGATGTGGGCATAACTGTTGAGGTTGGCAAACAAGGGATTATCAATGAAGGATTGCTGGCAGAGGAAGATTCTGTAACAGCTCTTTGAAAAAGAACCTCGCAATTATCTTACTGTCTGGTGATCACTTCACTGGGTCAAATATTGATTTTCACAATTGTGTTTCAAACAAATCATTGTAAGGATTCAGATTTATGAAATAAACAATAACAGATGCAGGTTTTCACTTTAAATGTACCTAAATAAATATTCATGAGATATTTGAATTTGCAAAATGTGACAATAAACATTCATGACTTGATCATTTTTTTTTAATGTAAAAATATAAATATTCAATTGATAATTAAATTTGAAAAATGTGAAAATGAATAGTCATGAGATTTAAATTTCCAATATAGGCGAAAATTTTAAATTTCGAATAATTGAAAACAACTATAACTCTTAAAATATTTATAGAAATAAAATCATCAGTAATCCTAGTTTACCAAACAGCCAAAAAACTTTCATCATTTTATCTATATATTGGTTCAGACAGTTTCATATATACATACATGTAGTTACATAGGTTCGTATATGACAAATAAGGATTTTTTTCATTCTGTTGACAGTCAGTTCTGAAATAAAACATTTAATATTAACCCTTTAAAATTTTCTAAACAACAGTATTTTGCAGTCGGTTTTCATACATCATCGGTTTTAAAACTGTTCCATACATAAACATATCACTGTGTAAACATATATTTACTAGGATTTAACCTTTAAAGTGTTATATTATTATTTTTTCCTGATTTTAAAAATGCTGAACACTTCAAAGACCTATTTTGTAGACTTCTATCATGCCTTAAAATGATCTGTTATATAAAATAGTTTATGTCATGGGATGCATGGCCATGTAATGCTTAATTATGTCAAAAAGTTTTAAAAGAGAGAGTTTTTTTATTCTGAAGAGTTCTTCACTATTGTTACAGAATTGTTTACTTTGTGGTCGCTGAAGGAATATTTGTCGAGACTTTCACTGACCTTGCAGCTAATATTCGTTCCCAGTCTCTATACTGGAAATTTGTAAATAATGTTTTTTCCCCTGTGTTGATTTGATTTTGCCATTTTTTGTTGCTGTACAAATTTAAGCAAATAACGGAGAACATTATTTTTTTCTATTTTATTTCAATAAAAAATGGATATATATATTTCTATTAATCTTTTTAAATATGAATCTATAAACAGGAAGGTCTAATGGCAACCAAGCTCTGTATATTGAGGGGTCCATGCTTAGCCAAAACTAAAAGGCTTACTATCACTTGTTTGTTGTATTTCACCTAAAGCAAGGTCAATTCACACATATATTTTAGGATATCTTATAAAATGCAATACATAGGTGGAGAAAAAACCTTTACATTTATTTTTGTTTACAGTAAAACCTCGTTATAATGCAACCAATTGTCTGGAGGAATTTTGACATTATAAAGGGGTTTAGCAATAGATTGAGCGAAATTTGTATAAAGGAATTCTTAAGCAAACGAGAAAAAGGGACATTGATATATGTTGGCGGTAAACAAGGTGGCGATAAAATGAGTGGCGTTATATCGACTTGATTCTGCTCTACACAATGCTGTTTATGTATTGCAATAAAATTTGAAAGACATTTTGTAATTTCTGATATGGTTTCTGCCCCTATATGATTAACACTGACCTTAGCGAATAGGAATGTCACAATATGCTTGGAGTGTATCACAATATACTACAATACCTATCCCAATATATTGTCAAAGGAAAAAGGTGTTTTATTTAATAAAAAGAAGTTGTTGTAGGGTGCTGTTTAATTCTGTGGCCTGTTCGTTTATGCGGAACAACCGGTTTGTCCGTTTGTAAATGTAACAATTTCGAGTATAAATCTTGGCGGACCTGCAAATGTTAATGCAGGCCTTGCAAGGCTTTGTCAAGGCTCGCTTGAAAGCAGCATCAGATTACTAGGTCCGACCTTATTTAATAAACGAACAACTGTGGTCCAACCGGTTCAACCGTTTAAACGAAAACGGCCATGGTTGTTGGCGTACATGTTAGAATGTGGTGATTTGCAAAGTTAAACACCCAGCTAATATTGATGAAATTAAGATTTTGAAAAATATTGCGATACAGCGATATTAGATTTCTGTATTGCAATACAATACAATATGCCTTTATACTTAATGCGATATATCGTTTTTTCTGATATATTGCAACAGCTCTATTTGCCATACAGTTGTACTCTAGACAAAATGATTCAATCACTCATGAAATATGTTCACTGTACTAAACACTGTACTAACTTGTTTTTAAATCCAAATAGTTTTGTTCTTTTTCTTAGGTTGAAACTAGAATTTGAAGGTTTAAGACACCTTATAAATGTTTGTGGGTACATTTTCTTTCTTCCTGGTTGGAGCTACTTTGATTGCGTCATGGTACAAATTTTAGAGGGTACCCCCATATATATAAGTAAAAGGTTATCAAGTATATCAGTTAAATTTGTCGTATTCATTTTCATGGTTCTATAGCAACCACGAAAACCACGAAAATTTATACCCAGTGAACATTTCATGTTAAACAGTATGTAAGCATTGATCTTCTAGCATCTGTAATCAGTTTACTTGCTCAAATGTTTGTGATGATTTACTAGCTATGTAAATAATGAAGTTAATTTCTGTTTAATAATTCTATATTGTCTCACTACTTCCTCTTGTCATTCTTTGTAAAATACTACAGTTTTAGTAGACGTTTATATCTACTAGTACATGTATATGCTATATAGTATAATTGTTCTCTTTTTTTTTTTTTTTTAAACATTTTACTTCCCAAGCACATTTAGGATACTGCCCGGGTTGGGGAGCCCGGGATCAGCTTCTTCACAATCATGTGTCCTCATACAAGAGGGCTCTCATACTTTCTTCCATACTAACTAGTAATTATATTATTCTTTCTTTGATACTACAGGGGCTAGCTCATTTATGGTCTCTGCACCCTTCGGAAAATGTCACGGCAAAATTGAAGGCAAGGGGCTAGCTATTTGATTTGGCGTCATGTGAAAAAATAATGACCCATCTCTATGCTGATACATATGTACCAGTCCTTTGAAGATTACAGAAGAGTGACAACCGGGGTTCAAAGCCAGTCAATGTAACTGTTACGCGTACACGAGATTATTTTGATGTACACTCAGCTTTCAATTTTACTGTGAATTTTTGACATATTCCAGGCGTGCAGAGAGGGTAGGTGATTATATATAATGAAGGTTTATGTTATCACTTGATTAAGTTGTTTTTTTATGGCAATATATTTACAATTGTACATTCATATGATTTTTAATGAAATGTGTATTTCACGAATAAGCAATATATAATGTTGAGATATGAATATATTCTATTTTATCCATTTTATTACAGAAACAGTTGATTATTTTTTTATAAAAAAAAATAATAAATATTTTTAAGATGATTACTTCTTGTGTTTATTTGTGTATTGTCTGTGACTTCAATATTTATCCAAAGAAACTGAAATCTAATGCTTTTGTTTAAAATTCCATGAACTCTCTCAACGAAATATTCAATGCTTTCCAAATCTTCTCATTCTATTCTACAACCATCCTGGATATCCAGGGGTTACGCTCACTTTCCCTCTCTACACCTCTGGAATATGTCATAGCAAAAATGAAGGCACACGGCTAGCTATTTGATTGGTGTCGAGTAAAAAAAACTGACCAATCACTAGTCTGATACTTGGCCTTTGAAGATTAGAAAGGAGGGACACCCGACTTCAAAGCCTGTCAATTTTACAGTTACATGACCACGATATTCCTTTGATGTACATCAAAGGCTCAAACTAGTCTTTTTGTCTTATCAACAAGGTGGCACACACCCAGCCTTCAATTTTTCTATGATATATTCCAGGGGTGTAGAGAGCGAAATTGAGCATAACCCCTGGATATCGGGATGTTCTACAACAGGAGCCTGAGGTGTGGCCTAGACAGAGGACACATAAGTGCCCTCAGGCAGGGTCCTATCATCAGCGCTATCTCTAGGAGGCAAATACACCAACATACCCAGCCCCTGGCACACATATACACAACAGGCATGGAGACATGTCCTTCACTCATTCACCCCTGAAGACATTTGAACCCTTCCAATTCAATGGTTGGAATAGTTCATTATGAAATTTCAGTGGTGAATGAGTTAAATTACCTAAGCTGTTCAACCTCTCATCTCTCAGCAAAAAATACCTTCAGACAATATTGTATGTTGACCTTGCTGTAATTTACATTGTTTAGTTGTATTTAAGAAATATATTATTGATATATTTTACAGATATATATGCAGACATTAATAAAGAGAGAATACAAATTGTCAACAAAACTTCTTTTTAATACACATACTAATCAATGAAATAGATATCATTTATACACAGGTATACTATAAAACGAGTTGATGTATTTTAATAAACGTATGTCTCACTTTAATCCACGCTTATCCAGCAAGTGAGTATATCATTTAAATGCATATCGTCATTAAAAAGGTGCCTAACAGCATACAAGGTGAATTTTTATTGTCTTAACTCCTCCAGTAGAAAATGTAGATATCTCATTTAAACAGATGGTGCCATTTTATAGCACACTAAACTGAACATGTGGTTATCTCATTTTGGTACACATATTCATCGACAATTAAATGGACATAATAATTTCAAAACGCAAAACATCAATTTGGATATCTCGTAATATATATACATTGAAACTTCAAAAATCATATCGCCCCCAGTAAACACTTAAATGGCACAGATTGCCATCTTCTTATCGCACCATGTATCACCTAGAGGCTCCAATATATATCCGAGAGCTTGTTCAAATCACAGGGACCTGAGAATTTGTTACAGCTATTTTTGGACCTAATCTAAGGTGTTTAGAATGATTGTACACGTTTGATGGTGTCTCATTGGGGGTGGCATTTTTACCGAAAATCGATCTTAACACCCCCCAAAACGTGTAAAATTACTCTTAAACACGTTAGATTAGGTCCAAATACATTGTATAGCTGTAACAAATGCTCAGGTCCCTGTACGTGGTTCAAATTTTGTCCTAGCTATGTCGATATTATTAAAATTCTCATTCTGTCGAATTGTGATAATTTATCTTGTCCTGTCAACTTGACAATTTCACGTCGTTATGTCGACATGAGAATAAAATATCTGGTTACGTCGACTTTTTATCGTATTGTGAATTTTAATTCATTTTTACCCCGTTGAATGAACACTTTACTTGATTGACATTCATCCTAGCTATCTATACAAGTCAAATATCGTTCCACTATATCCTTGGTCACTTCAGAATTTGTTTTCTTTTTAAATATTTGGCCCTAGTGACATTGAATAAAGGTCAAATACCTTGAGTACCCTGTACGTGCTTCATAGTCCATAAGAAGTTGTTTGACCATGGAACCGTGCGACTTAAATGTGCTTTAAAGTCATATATGAACAAATTTGTTTTTTTAAACAAATATTAACTAAACCTTTGAGTTCGCGTTCTAACATTCTCGCAAACTTCAACAAATTTGATGTCGTGAAATATTATGATGATATTACAATATGTTAACTCTTCAACATAACTTGCATCTCCCGGGCATAGGGTCGGGGAGATACTGTCCTTTCATGTAGTTGGCTGTTTAGGTTATAGATGTCCATATCATCTGTTGTATGTATACTCTGGGTCTTCATGCAGACCTTTCACCAATTTTATTATGTTGGGTTTTATGTATATAGATATATTATGTCTCCTTTTCACTGGCATGCTTGCCTCCATGATAATTGTACTTTGGTTTTACAATTTTGTTCCAAAGTACACTTTTGATTATATTTGGTTTTATTCCATTTGGGCTTTCCACCATGGCTTCGGATGGGGGATGATTTCTGCTGCACCTCGTTTTATTTATGTATTAGCCTGGTGTTGCAGTAATCATTGTGGCGGAATAGGACCCCCATCTAAGACTTTTTGGGGCTATTTATATGACAAAATGTGAACGTCATAACAACCGTCGTTTATTGTAATAAACGGCCATATTCAATTCAGATTTGGTGTCCTTGTTTTATTTAATTATTTGTCTTACCAGCTTGCCATGGTGGATGTCCTGTATAAATACAAATTAAAACTTGTTTTAATGTAATTTATGCAGTCAGACTTACATGCTTTTATGTAACTATTTTTATTTGCGGAAGGAGGTATGTTGGGGTATGAGTGATGCGGTCCGACATGTTACATGCGCGCATTGATATGTTGCTATAATTAGATCACTATAAATACAAATGACGCAGCAGCTCCTATTCAGAAGCTGATAAAAGAAAATGGCGGAACAAGGTTCGTACGGTCAAGGTCAATTTTATTTCAACTTGTAAAGTTTTGTATTGTTTTATCTGATCACAGATTTTAGTATATACAAGATAAACTTTACCCACCACCATCCCCGACTTTCCTCCTTTCTTGTTAGAATTTTCTGAATGTGCATAACTTTATGTATTGGTGGACAACATTTTCTTATGCGATTGTTAAGTAATGTATCGATGTTATATCATGTATTTGTGTGTAAAAATTATGTATTACAACTAGCATTAATATTGCATCAATTATATTGTGTATGGCGGAATAGGACCCCCATCTAAGACTTTTTGGGGCTATTTATATGACAAAATGTGAACGTCATAACAACCGTCGTTTATTGTAATAAACGGCCATATTCAATTCAGATTTGGTGTCCTTGTTTTATTTAATTATTTGTCTTACCAGCTTGCCATGGTGGATGTCCTGTATAAAATATGTTAACTCTTCAACACCTAATGACACATTTGGACTGCTCCTAATCAAATGATGTCATAGTCCATTGCCAA